GTATAATCATTAGTCCACAGCAGTCCTTCACAGCCTCTCAGCCAACATGGCCCCTTGGCTTTGTCTCCATGCCTAGGGCTAGTAAGTAAAGCCACTGCCCTGCCTCACGGGTTCGTCTCTGCGCTGCTCCTCTGTTCTGTCTCAGTGTCCCCTGGCCTCAGCCTCTAGTCCCTCTGAGACCTTCCGACAGAGATCGCCACTGTGTTCCACTTCCAGTGGTCCTGGAATCTCCCTCTTCCTGGTGAGAGGGCTTCTCCTTATAGCCAGGGGTCTGACAAATAAAACTGACCCATTCCATCTATTAGTGTTATACATTATTTTATTTGTATAGTCGCACCCAATCATTGAACAGGAGTAACAGAGACATGGGTACAAGCGTCATTTTAAGAAATTCCACTTAAATTAATTCAAAAGTTTATAAATTTTATTTCATTAAAAAACGTTTCTTCCAAATCCACCCTGGACCCCTTAAGGGTGGTACTCTCACCTGTATTCTCATGTGCTGTAAAGTCTTACTTTAATATTTTGATATTTTCTTTAGAAAAATTCCAACCTGATAGCTCTGTATCTTGCTTTCTCTTACATTCTAGTGACAGCTCTGCTGGAGACAATAGTGCAATTAAGCAGATTAACATCCCTAGGATTTCCCAGGGATATACTTTTATTAACATTATACTTATAATCCTAACACTGATGACAATTTCAATGGGATTATTCCTTCTTTCTATTCTTAGATCCCAACAGTGTTGGGTGGATTATTATCTCTAATAACTAGTTACAAGGTTATTTGCTACCTCCAGTTCATAAATGTTCTTGTTAGCACCATTTTCACACATTAGTTTAATAACAGGAACTTTTAATTTATGGCAGCAATATAGGAATAGTACAATGCCCTTTTGCAGTCACCAGAAGCGATTCTCTTCAGAAATGTAAAATTGTATCACCGAGTCTCTGATCACAACTGTTTACCATTTTATCTTACCCTCTTGACTCTAGGGAAAATGCTTTTAGTTCTCATTAAGAAAACTCCAAGAACCAATACTCATTCTGTCATTTAATTAGATAGATAATTATTTAAATTTTCTTGTGCATAATTCTATAAGCATAAGGAAGAATGACTTTTAGGAGACCCTTCATCTTCATTTTTTGTAGGCCTCAGAATAAGAAGGCTATAGCTGGCTATGTGTATACTGGTCTGTAGGTGACAGTAAATCACTAAAACTAATGTGTTTCCCTCCTTCCCCATCCCTGATTGACAGGAGCGGGATGCCTATCTTCCTCTGGCTGAGAGTGCCAGCAAGATGTACTTCATTATTTCTGACCTGTCCAAAATTAATAACATGTATCGTTTTAGTTTGGCGGCATTTCTACGACTTTTCCAACGAGCTCTGCAAAACAAACAGGTATGCTGTTAGCCACTCACCAAACCCTCCACCATCGGGTCGATTCCAACTCAGCCCGACACTACGTAGCAGAGTAGAACTGCTCCCATCCGTTTACCAGACTTCAACTCCCGGAGTTGAGAAGCTGCGCTTTCTCTTACAGAGTGGCTGCTGGTTTCGAACTGCTGACTTAGAGGTTAGCAGTCCAACATGTATCCACTATGCCACTAGGCTGGAAGTATATAATTTAGGGCTAGTAAATATTTTAAACAAAAAGGTATCAATCTGTACTTTCAGTATATGTGCTGCCGAAGTGAGCACATCAATCTGTGCTTTTAAAACACTATTAGTGTTTGGTTGACCAATTTCAAATCAATTCATATATTATAATCTCTCGAAACTATTGTGAGGCTATACCGTTCCTTTATTTAGCCCGCTCCTATGTGGATAGTTATTCTGTCACTGCGAGTGTCATGTTAGCCTCCAAATTTAAAAGAGTAAAACAACATTTTTTTATACATTTTACTGTGATTTTAAGAAAACACACAGCAAATTAGATTCTCATTTAACAATTGCTATGCATATTAATCTGTGACATTAGTTACACTGTTCACAATGTGTCAGCCTTTTAATTATTTCCAGTGGCTATGTTTCCATTAGTCTAATTCCCTGTGTTCCTTTACCGTCTTATCTTTGGTCTAGGGTAAATGTTGACTGTGAACTTGCTTAGAGAATTGTTAGAGAAGCATGGTGGTGATACTATTTATGAGCCACTCTGTCTTTTAGCTGATAGGTTCTCTTTGGAAGTGGTTTGAGTTCCCAGTTTAAAGGGTATGTATCTAAGGAGGTCTTGGAAGTACCTCTACTCTAGACTTAGTAAGTCTGGTCTTTTTCGAGAACTTGAGTTTTCTTCTACATTCCACTCTAGTACTCTATCTGGGGCCATTTGTTGTGTCCTTGGTCACAGTAGTTAACAGTAGTAACCAGGAACCATCTAGTTTTTCTGGTCCTAAGATAGGTGAGGCGGTTCTCAGCTTGTGGGTCACAACCCCTTTGGGGGTCAAATGACCCTTTGACAGGGGTCGCCTAATACCATCAGAAATAAAGATTTCCGATGGTCTTAGGAACCGAGACACCGCTCCTCTATCCGTCTACAGGCAGTTCCGCTCACATGCAGATACACCCACATACGAGTACCTGGCTTTATGACTTCATTGTGCCAACCCCATCACATACACCCCGTTCAAATACAGATGTATATGACATGGTTGGCACAATAATGTACTTATGTGGACCAGTCATGCATGTGTAGAGAGCAGCTACTGTGTAGAGAGCAGCTACTGTGTTGAAAGCAGCAGTATTGAAGGTAAAATGACACTTCATGAATTATAATTACTGGGTAAATGAAAAATCATGTACTGTAAAACTATCAACTACTGCAAAAAATTTTTTTCTGTACCATGGGAACTTAATCTGGATGCTACTTGGTCTTTTTATATTCAGCTGTGGTTGATGTGAGTACTGCTCTCTTGTGATAATAACAGGTATGTAAAAAAAAAAAACCAGAATGGTAAATCATAGGAAACTTTAATGAACTGTATTGTCTGAACTGTCATGTATCGTCTTTTGTATTATTAAAGCTATTGCTATATATTATTTTCATTAGCAAATCATCCCATGACAGTGTATCGTGTAGAGATGAACATTAAGAAAAGAAAATATAGGAGGATGTTTTACAGTATGGTTTTACCTCAATTATTATAGCAGGAATTGAGAAAACAATGTGTTATTTGTTGGGAAGTTCTATCAGATGAATCTATGAAGCTGACCAAAATAATACACCATTTTGATAGCAAGCATCTGAGCTTTGCCAGCAAGCATACCAACTATTTTAGAAGCAAAGCTGATGGACACAAGAAAGCCAGACTTGACACCGCTGACAAGCACCACAAACAAAACGTATCAGCTATTGAAGCTTCATATTTGGTGGCACTCAGAATCGCCAGAGTTATGAAACCTCACACCACTGCTGAGGATTTACTGTTGCCAGCGGCCAAAGATATTGTTCAAGTTATGATCGGAGACGAATTTGTTACGAAATTGAGTGCAATTTCCTTATCTAATGACACTGTTGGCAGAAGAATATATGACATGTCTGCTGATATTCTTGATCAGGTAATCCAGGAAATTAAATCTGCTCCACTGCCAATAATTAGCATCCAGCTTTATGAATCTATAGACATTGCAGACTGTTCACAGTTACTGGTTTGCGTGAGGTAAATTAATGTTGACAACTTTAAAGATGAGTTTCTTTTTTGCAAAGCTCTTTAAACGTCACATGATGCATTTGACACAGTTGGCTCTTTTCTGAAAGAGCGTAAGATCTCTTGGGCAAAGGTTTGTGGTGTTTGCACAGATGGTCCGCCAGCTATGCTAGGATTTCTATTTGGATTTCAACGTTTGGTACTGAATGAGTCACCAAAAGTCATCGAAACATTGTATGATTCATCGGTAAATATTGGCAACGAAGACACTGCCACAAGAGTTACAAGAAGTAATGGAAAGCGTCATAAGTTCTATCAGTTTTGTAAAGGTGAGCACTTTACACAGTCAACTGTGTTTGCAACTGTAATGAGTTGGATGTGCCGAATAATGCTCTGCTATTTCACACTGAAGTGATATGGTTGTCTAGAGGAAAAGTTTTAAAGCATGTTTTTGAGCTTCGTGATGAACTCAAAACGTTTTTAATCAGAAAGCAAGACCACAGTTTGAATCATTTTTCAGTGATAAAAGTGATCTGCAGAAAATAGCTTACTTGGTTGACAACTTTGCCATTTATCACTGCAAGGACCAAATGCAACATGCCTTGATTTGTCTGAAAAGATCCAATCATTCCAAATGAAACTTCAGCTTTGGCAAAAAAAAATTGGATGAAAATAAAATTTACATGCTGCCTACCTTATCTGCTTTCTTTGTGGAACATGGCATTGAACCAGACAAAAGGATTACGATGATAATTTCTGTGAAAGAATACTTTCATATGCTTTCAGACGAAATTTCATCATACATTCCAAATCTACCTGACACCCATTTCACTTGCCAGAAGCCCATTCACAGTCAGAGTTGAAGACGTTCCTGAGACAGCACAAGAGGAGTTCATTGAACTTATTAACAGCGATGCAGCGAGAACTGGGTTCTCTGCAATGCTAGTTAACAAATTTCTCTATCAAGTGTTTTCAGTCACATCCTATTCTCTCTGAAGCTGTGTTGTGCCTTCTTCCATTTCCAACAGCATATCTTTGTGAAACAGGGTTTTCCAGCTTATTGGTTATCAAGTCTAAATACAGAAATAGTCTTGTTGTGGAAGAGGATTTTCATTGTACTCTTGAAAACACTGTCCTGAGAATTTCTGATCTGGTGAGAAAGAAGCTATCTCAACCTTTGCACTGATTTTGGCTTTTTATGCATACTGTTACAAAATGTAGCAATGTAGTTTACTGTTGTTATATTAAGACTGTTACCAAGCTATACCATGCTTCAAGACAAAATTTCATTTATTTGTGATTAGAAATAAATATTTCACAATATATAATTACATACTGTTTTGTCATTAATCATGTTAAATGCTTTAATTATGTTCAATTTGTAACAATGAAAATACATCCTGCATATCAGATATTTATATCACTATTCATAACAGTAGCCAAAGTACAGCTAGGAAGTAGCAGTGAAAATAATTTTATGGTTGGAGGTCACCACAACCTGAGGAACTGTATTAAAGGGTCGTCTGAGGAAGGTTGAGAACCACTGCTGGACTGGTTTGTGTACACTGTGAGGATGAGTCCTGTGGACTACTTTCTCTGAGCCTTTGATTTCCTTCATGCTCTTCTGCTCTAGATGTGTGCAGACCAGTAGTTATGTCTTAGATGGCTACTCGCAAGCTTTTAGAGTCGGTGTTGCACACCAAACTAGGATATAGAACTTTATTATGAGCTGTGTTATGCCAATTGACTGAGTTGCACCTGTAGACTCTGGTGCTAAATCTTCAGACTCAGCAACTCAATCTTTCAAGGTGTTTATGTAAGCTGATTATGTCTAAGAAGTATCTGTTACAGTACCCTTATGTGGCTATTTTCTATATGAATATATACGCAGTAAAAATATATGTGTGTGTGTGTATATATATATATCTGTAGTCACTTGAATTTGAAAGAAAATTACTCTTGTTCCAGAATCAACTTTGAGTATGTAGGGACAATGTATAAGAGTGACCAAGCTATGGATGCCTTTTAAATGTTTATTAATTTTCTAATAGTTTTTAATTTTCAAATTATAATTTACAGGATTCTGAAAGTACAGAACAGAGAATCCAGTCTCTGATCAACTCATTAAAGCATATGGTATATGAATATATATGCCGTTGTTTATTTAAGGTAAGAAACATGTTATCAAAGATAAAAAACTAGTTGGTTCTTGACTTAATATAGTGTATGCAATTAATTTACAGTAACTTTTACCCAATGAAGAGTATTGAAATTGGTATTTCTAATAGGTTACCAGAAGAATATTTGTTGTTAACTAGAATGCCTTACAGCATTTGTGGAGTTAGTGAGGATGAAAGTAGTAGTGAGGAGAAAAGTGGTAAGTGGGGAAGGGAGAGTGAGCAAAGGAGGGGTTAGCAGTAATAACCCAGTAGGAACTGCAATGCACTTTGTATGCTTTATTGATCCTGCAATTAAACTAAGATGCTAAAAATCACCGGTTACTCCTCAATTTTAATTTCTCTAAAATGAGTACATGTTAGCAACTGATTGTAAAGCCTATTTTGTCAGTGTTACATATGGAAAGTGTTACGACCCTAGACAATGAAGATAGCCATTACAGAGGTCAGAGTATCACTCTCACTGTCACTAACATTTATATAATACTTTATCTCCTGTAATAATATTTTTTCACTTCACAACTTAAAGGTTTAAAATCTTGCAAAGAGTTTCAAACTTCATACAACAGTCCTTAAGATTTTATTTCACTCTCTTCTGCAATTCTTACTGCTTCATTAGGGTTTTGGTCATTAGAATGACTTGTTTACAATTTTTTTGTTCCTTGTAGTTCTTTTCTTCTCTATAAAAATATAGACGTACTTATTTATTTTCCACATTCTACTGTTCTGCAGCTTCCCCTTTCTTATAGTAGGTCCTGGAGATTTCTGTAAGTGTAGTTATGCTAGCCTTATTGATAGTACTTCAAGCACCATACAATTATACATGATATGTACAGTTATATGTTACTTTATTTAGTGCGCTACTGGTGGATGTTAGCGTTTATTTTTTGCTGTTCGACATAAATCTACGGTGAGTATGCCATTCAGTACGCTCATCTTTAAATGTAAGAGATTCCATTCAGTGATTTCTGGATGGAATATAATTTCTTGTCTTAGCTTATGTACATTACAAATTTTGTAAAATACTGTCACAGTGCCTTTTGAAAAGATTTTTTCCATTTAATCCCACTGTTCACAGAGATAGTACCTGCTTTCTTGTATTCTTGTCAACCCAAAATATGTGTCTTCAATTTTCCAAGGTGGTGGCTTGTCTTTTCTTCTTGTCTGTATTGTTTTAAAGTAGTTTCTTTTTATCTTTTACCTTAACTTGCCATGTTTGTCCATGTTCTTATTATTCATGGGCTAAGCTTTTGCTTTATAGAACAAATGTACATTATTGTAATTGTTTATTTTATATGTAATTATCTTTGGATTTTTCCTACTTATATTTATAGATTATTAACTTAAATGATTATTTTAGGCAGTTTTGATTCTTTTTTATTTTCTAGGTAATAAATAATTTTTATTTTAGCCAATCTTCTGATAATAATTTTTAATTCATCTTTCTTTGATTTATGAAAATGTTATCAATATGTTTTTTTAAAGGTGCCTACAAATTCTTTTTAAAAGTGTATGTGGTACAAGCATATTTATTAATTAAAAATGTTTTGTTAAGATAACATCAGTTTTTTTTTATAAAAATAACTTAAGAATTTTTTGCTTGTTTCTAGTTTGTAAACCAACATCTCAATTTACATATTCTTATTGTACTTTTTATACATGTAGTATAATTATTGGTTAGATTTATCTTTATCTTATCTAAACCAAACCACTCCAGTCCCTTATAGTAACCCGATATAGTGTTCCTCAAGTTGTAAATTACTGGAGAGATAGCTTCATCTTTCTCCCAAGAAGCAGCTGGTCGCTTTGAATTGCCAGTCTTGTGGTTAGCAACCCAGTGCTTACTGGACAGGACTAGTAAGACTCCTTACTGCCAAATATTATTTTAAATATTTCATGATGTAATTGGAGAAGGTACAGTAAATATTCCGTGTCCAGAATCTGATAGTCGCTTTTTACCTTTTACAAATATATTCAATTTCGTCACAAGGCAGCAGTCATTGCACTAGGAGAGAGTTTGAGAGGCTTAGTTAGCCTTACTCCTTCTGGACCCACTTAGAACATTTCAGTGCCCTTCTTGAGTCATACCTTTCTATTGTGAAGAGTAGAAAATCGCTTTTTTAAAATTCCTAGGGTTTACAATTCTTATGGCATGTTTTTAATTGTTGATTGAATATCCATTTTAACGTTCATATTTATATATGAAAAACATTAAAAGTTATGCAGCATGAATTCATTATAAAATAGAGTTTT